ATATATATATATATATATATATATATATATATATATATATATAGAGAGAGAGAGAGAGAGAGAGAGAGAGAGAGAGAGAGTGAGAGAGAGAGAGAGAGAGATAATCTATTCCCATTATGCTTGTGTATGTTTATAACTATAGCTCAGGGGTTAACATAAGCAGTTAATGTTTATCTTAGACAGGAGATCTTGTCATCTCAAGGTTTTCCAGTGGGCGACCGAGTGAAATAGACTGATTAAAGTTCTCCATCTCACAGATAAATTTCTGTAAACTATAAGAGTGAAAGAAAGACAAAAAAAATTGTGTTTTCAATCATCCCAATTTGGGTGGGACAGTCCTGGATTTTGCCCAACCTGCCCTGTGTCCCACAGGAGGAGGGCCAGGACACACAAAATGTCCCAGATTTGACAAGAGCTGTCTGGGCTCACCTGTGTCTTTGTGGGAGGAGGGATACAGAGGGGCTGTTTCACGGACTTCCTGCAACAGCAGGTGTCAGGTTGCCATAATAAGCCTATATATGGCTGTAAAATTGACATTCTCAGCTTTTAGAAATGGTTAGTGTTTTTCCTGATAGCACAAACAATCATAAAGTTACAGTAATGCAAAGCAAACTTAAGAAAATCAAACACCATAGATAAGACGCTCAGAATAAAAGATAAACATTTTGCTGTTAAAGTTCAATTATGTTTTATGTTATTTGATTCAGCCACCAACCATACATTATTAGGTTGAAATTGTTTGTATGTTAGATACATTTGACACATTAGATACATAGATTGGTGGTTTGTTTGTGTTTTTGTGTGTGCTTGTATTGGTGAGTAAAAGTAGTTAATCTAATTTTAAGTTGTTGTGAACATCATTAGTGGACAAATGGTGGACTCATGATTTGTAAACACAGCTGTGGCGTTTGCATAGAAGCTTGTATTTTCTGTATGTTTGTGTTTTTGTTTTACACTTTTTCGCACCAAATTCCGATAATGGCATCACAGAAAAAGCCTTTGACAATGGAAGTGACATATCAAACTGTATTTATTATATGTTGCAAATTAGACTTGAAGAAGTCAGACAAAATATTTCTACATAATTTATCCTTGAGAGATTTTAGCCATGTTGTGTGCTTATCGTAAAATCATTGGTACTGCTTTCTAACTAACATGGACTAACCTGTTTAAATAAAGGTTGAATGAAAAAAAAAATGGATTGGTACTGCTTTCATTGAATTAAGTGCAATTAATTAGCTCACTTTTGGCTCTTTGCCACTGTGTCATTTCTCAGTTTCACACCACACTGCATCAATTAAGGGCCTACTCACTGCTGGTGCCCTTCCCCACTCAGCCCAGTTTATGGGACCATCTTGTTTAAGCTTCCAAGCGGACAGCTCTGCTGTGCAGATTTTGACATAAACAAAGAGCATCCTTTGACTGACCAGCAGAGCAACATTGCTTGATGATCTGCCCAGCAAAATTGCAAATTAGATCTGAACCTCCATTTTCTCACTGTTCGTGTTGACGGACAGCATCATAAGAAATGAGTGCCTTTATAAAGAGATATTGGAGATGATGGTGCAGTTTGGCTACACCCGGATTTATAAGCAGTGTCGAGATAAGATAAAGAAATTTAAGTAATGTTATATGGTGATTAAGGACTATAATGGGTGGAGTGGCTCGAACACAATGACCAGTTATGATCCCGCCCACTTTGCATTGACGATCCCGCCTACAGAGCAGAAACAAATCATCAACACCTGAGAAGAACAAATAAGGGCTGAGTGGAGTCGTAATGGCAAAGTGATTTTTGTCTGTCACTGTCACATCTTTAGAGTTCACACTCATCATTGTGATTCTTATTGGGGAAAAAAATTAAAAATGTAGTAACGATGGAAATTCCCCATTTTCAATTCTATAATTGTACATCCTACTATTAGGGTTTACATAAGGAATGTAATAATTTTGTCTTCTCTCTTTCCATTCTAGTCACTAGATTTCGAGACAAAAAGCGGCTTTGCTCTGAGAATTGAAGCTACGAACAGGAATATTGACTCCAACTTCTTGAGCTTGGGCCCATTTAGCGACACAACATCAGTCAAGGTGACAGTGGAAGATGTGAACGAGCCACCCATCTTCTCTGTGCGGCTTAACAAGATGGTTGTTTCAGAAGATGCCAGAGTGGGTACCTCAATTGGAAGAGTATCTGCTCATGACCCAGATACCTCCCACAGTTCAATCAGGTACTAAAGACAATCTATATTCTACTACTTCGAAAACTATTGAGGCTGAATCACTTTTTTTTTTGGTTTTGACCCCATACCGCCATTCTTTTGCCTGTAATAAGTAAAAAAAGGGTTGTTGTTAAAATCTTCTGCTAGAAAAGTTGGTGTTGACAAGCTGTTACACTTTTACGTGATCAGAGGTTGCATCAAAATGTTCTCCTTCATACTTACATTGGGTCGCTCCAACAACAAACCAGCCAATATAAGTGACAATATGCATTACATGTACATTTGCAAATTGCTTTGTTAGCACAGCTTTTTACCTAAAGTATGGTCCTGAAAAATCTTTGTTTGAAAGTCATACTACCAATTGCATGACGATGAAAAATGTAGGGGTAGTTCCAAGGAGGTTACAGGAACAACAAAAATTGGGATTCAGTGGGGAAAAAGAAAACTTGACACTACAGTTTCATTCAACAAATTGTCAAAAAACATGATTTGCTATCGTAAATTATTGAAAAAAAATAAAATCCAAATGCTAAAAAAAAAAACCTAACTGAAGGGGTTGTTTATTTAGCTATTCCACATCATTTCCAAACACAGACTGCACAGACTCTTGAGACTCGCCATGTTGCTGTCACAAAGATGGTACCAGATGGTTGGTGGGCCGGTAAGTGCTGCAATTGCAAAAGTAAAATGCCATCTTGAACAAGAGAAGGGCATTCCTGCAGGAGGATTACAGCCTGACTCTTGCACCATGGCATTTATGGCTTAAAACAAACACTTAAATTGTCAGTTTGTACAGTGTCACTCTCAAGATACTCTCTCATTCTGCCTTAATTGAAAGAGTATTGTATGATATTCATGCTTGGTCTATCAGGATTGTTAGTAATCTTAATCAGAAAATCTAATTACTGCACTATTGTAGCTGTAAATTGCCTTTTTTCTTGCCCCTGTGACTGTTATCAGAATCAGTAATTTATTTCACTCCATCTGTTGGAATTAAAATTATTGTGGAACTAATGCAGCCACAAGAGTCAAATTACATTGCAATAATACCCCTTTGGATGTATGCTAATTGAAGTAGCAATTTTCTCTAGAAATATGAGTTTTATGTGTATTGAAAGGGCTCAGTAAGTATTGTGTGTTGAGGAACACACAGAAAGCCTTTCATATTTATTAAAGTTTAATAAGGTTTTGATTCACACATGCTATTAAGTTCTACGTTTCTGCTCTTTTTAATGTCTATTCTATTTAGAAAATAGTTGAAAAATATATTCCATGTCAGACGAAGCGTGAACGCAATTTATTAATGTCTGAATAAAGCTCAATATTTCAGCACAACACAAATTGATGGAAAAAGACATAATCATAATCTTTCCTTTCCAGCTGAAGAAACTTCTATACTTTAATGTCAAATCAATACTGGTGAAAGTATTTTTAAATGTATCAATAATGATTGTGGACGTGTATTTTTCTCCAGATACTCCATTGACAGGAACACAGACTTGGAGCGTTTCTTTAATGTGGACGCACTGAGTGGGGTCATCAGCACCGCCAAGCCTCTGGACCGGGAAGCCAACTCTGTTCATAATCTCACCGTCTTCGCTATCGAGAGCCGTAAGTTCACCACCAGCATCTAACTGCTTTTAGTAAAGCTGCATTTATTAGCTTATGTGGCCAATTAACAGTAAATTAATTTTCTTTGTCAAATTAAAGCTTACAATAAAAAAGATAATTACTTCATATTTGGCTTTTGCATTTTCCCTGCCGTGTTGCTACGACAAGGGTTAGGATAAAATCTAAAGACTTCGTCCAACTCTTCAGTGGAGTTTAACTACTAATTTTACTAGAGATTGTTTATTGTTATTGGTTTGCTTTGTTTTAACATTGAAGCAATTGATTTATATTTTTTATAATTGTATTTTTACACATATATGTTAACAAGATTATTGGAAAAGTAAACCTTGCCTTTATATCTTGTGAAGTGCCTTTGCACTGCTCTTAGATAATATTGTTGAAGTTTAACATACTACTACTATACTACTACTACTACTAGTACTACTACTACTACTAACAATAATACTACTACTATAATACTACTACTACTGCTACTATACTACTACTACTATACTACTACTATACTACTACTACTAATATACTACTATACTACTTCTACGCTACTACTATAATACTACTGCTACTATTCTAGTACTACTACAACTAACCTTAATACTACTACTATACTACTACTATTACTAACACTGACACCACTACTACTATTACTAACACTGATACTACTACTACTACTTCTACTACTACTACTACTACTACTACTACTACTACTAACACTGATGGTACAGCTATACTACTACTACTACTATAATACTACTACTACTATACTACAACTACTACTATAATACTACTACTACTTTTTCAGAGAATAATTGTGTTCTTTAGAAATGTATACCTTATTCAAAACTGTGACTGAATACTACTTTATACATTAGGCTGAACAGAATTATTCCTTCTATTAAAAAAAAATGTCAGCATGCAATTTAAGCAAAAAATAAAAACAACATAAAACATAAAATATTTTGTATTTGCTTATGACTAGAATGTCTATTACAATTCTTTTGATCCTAAATTTGCGGACAAATCACACTTTCATGTATTACATTTGTATTATTTATATTTTAAATCTAGATGTTTTTAGAACAATAATAAACAGCAAACAAAACAACTTTACCAAAAACGTGGTTAGCGGTTCAAATAAGATAAAAAGGTTGAAATCTATTATATGAGATGGGAAGACCTAATCCAGATCGGGTTTCCATTAGGCGACTACTGTGCTCTTTATTAGTCATATGGAATGTAGTCAGGACTGCCACCTTCTGAAGACACATTCAGCCAAGTCAACCAATTAAAGGAAATGAGCCTCTTCTGCTTCGTTTGTATGACCTGATATTTCAAAAGATTACTTTAATTTGGCCACACAGTTGGGTGGTCAGAGTCCAAGAACTGTTTCAGCAGTTATGTGAAATACATTTCAATTACAGTTATCTATCTATTCTTTGGGTGGTCTTGAAGGAATCATCTGGTAATAATTTTTATTAGATGTTCTATCGATTTATGAGTCATGACATTACTCACAAGGGGTCCATTTTATATTGTTTTTCAGGCTAATGAAGCAACTCTTTCTCAAAAATGTCAAAATGGTGTAAATGTGCACTACATTAGCCAATATTAAACCTCTACACTTCTGCATGAGACCATTCATTTAGTTTAGTTTATCAGCTGAACAATGTCCATGTTACTATGTAAATGCATGTATGCTGAGCATAGACACAACTTGTATATTCTTATAGTGTTGAAAAGATGTTGAATGTCAGTCTGCCTGATCAGCACATGTAGTCTGTCAACAACAAGTCAACTATCCATGGACTGAAACATTCAGCAGCATCAGGCTCTCGTTTGGCCAAACATTAGCCTAGCCTGGACAAGTTAGTTCCCCTGATGATTTACGACTGATAAGGTACTATTGGCATCTATTTGATATCTACTTCTGTCTGTGATGTGGCCATGTTGAACAAAGATACACTTTTTTTCTCAATATTTTATAGATCAGAGACTTGTTATTTAACATTTACAATCCCTTTACTGATACAGTAACTAATGTTGGTGCAACATTTGATTCTCATCTTACATTTGAATCTCATATTAAAAACATTTGCAAAACTTCATTTTTTCATTTCAAAAACATCTCCAAGCTCCGTCCATTACTCTCCTTTTCTGATGCTGAAAAACGTGTCCATGCTTTCGTCACCTCAAGACTGGACTACTGCAATGCACTTTTTTTATGGAATTCCATCCAAACACATTCTAAAACTTCAGTATGTACAGAACAGTGCAGACAGGATTCTGATGAAGCAAAGGAAACATGATCACATCACCTCGATCCTTAAAATCCTCCACTGGCTTCCCATTTCACTCCATACTGAATACAAGGTTTCCTTACTCACTAATCCATTCACGACAATGCTCCATACTACCTTAAAGAACTGCGCAGACATCAACACGATCCCTCTGCTCCACAAATTCCTACCAGGTCCGCCCTCCCTGGACAAAACTGTGCACTGTGGGTGACAAGACCTTCTGCTCTGCTGCTCCTCATCTGTGGAACAGCTTCCCCGACCATAAGGATACCGCAGACTAGAAAAAGTTTTAAGAAAGGACTGAAAACCTTTTTTATTTGAAATATTTTATAGTGTTGTAGTGGTGTCAGGGCCAGCTTAGCAACCCTTTCACTACTAATTATTTAAATATAACGGGTTCTTTCTTTTTCGAGTTAAATTAAGGCCATGTGACGAGGTATTGTGAGGATTGTGTTTAAATCAGTGACATGAGACGTCAATTTTCCTTTGACCCATCAGAATAAATGTGGTCATTTATTTAACAGAATCAAAATTTAACATCAAAACATTGTACACTTGATTAGCTGATCTGGTTCTGATTAATAAAACTTGGCACACTTGACTTAATAAGACAACAAGACATTTCTGAAGGCATCTAGACTACTGGCAAAATAGAAGAGTTTTAAAGGAAGGAATGAAGAGAAAAGATGGGTTCAGGGGGTGTCTGTTCGGACAGCAGAATGGCACGCTCCCTTCAACACCAGCTCAAAACCTCCGGTACACTTGGCACGTCACGACTCGTTACCTTTGCAGAACTTAATCAGCTCCGGTGTTGGGCCTATTTCAACGCTACCTTCCAGCGTCTCCGGTAAGAGCGGCTGGCCATCGTCAGGAGTCGTGCCGTTTACTCCGTTCAACAAACACGCTCATCTCCCGGGTGGATACACAGCTAGCTGTCAGTCTGGCAGTTTCCACTCAGATGTGGGAGAATCCATCAAAGACTCCGGAGAATCAGGAGACTGAGAAATCTTGAGAAGACTTGAGAAGACCTGAAGCCTGAGAGACTCAAGAAGACTTGAAGACTTCACCAGTGGTTTGAAGACTTGAAGACTCCAGGAAGTGTGGACTTTTAAAGAGTTCTCACATCCAGTCACTTCAGGACTTCCTGATTGGTTGAAACAACCAACAGGGGGTGGTTCTAGTGATGTCAGAGGGTCACTACAAGTCAAGAGGACAGCAGGAATGTTTTAGGAACTTTTAGTACAGACAGAAGAAATGTTTTGAAGAAGTGAGAGCAAGCAGGTGCCAGTGTTTCTTATTTACTGTCTGCTAGGTTTAAAAACAATACAGCCTGTTCTAAAAACTTCTTTCTGACTGTCTCTGACTTTCGACCGACATCACTACTTCTCATTCAGACAGAAGATCAAAATGCATAATTACTTTGTAAATAGACATTTAACTTGATTTCTAATTTAAATGAGGATTAAAAAATAATCATTAATACTGTTTCACAGTTGATTTAAATGAGTGGTTCAACATTTAGAAATGATATGAACTAAACACCCTTTTTTGATTTATCAAGATATTGTAAAATAGTAATGATAATTTAAAAAGAAGAGTGTTCTTTCAATTGATTAGTTCAGGATACAATTAGAAAGTCTCTGGATGAGCTCATTTGTATTTCTGGATTCAAATCAATGAAATACAGTTCCTGTCCCATGAAGGTCTTCAGAGGCAGGTTTTGGTCGGAGGCCGAGTTCACTACAGTGTTTAAAGGTATTTTTAATCCTGCAGTTTTTTTTTTTTTTAGTCCGTCTTTTATTCTCTCTAGATGTTTTATATTGTAGCACTTTGAGACTGCAAAATGTAAAGTGCAGTTTGGGGGTCTTTTCATAAAAAAATCAACCTCATTACTGTAACTTACTCTCCTCTCTTTTTTGCTTACTAATACACACGAGTTTGCAATTTTTTTGGTGTATATTATGGCACAGAGCTGTGGGGTTGATTCACGGCTGTCAGGGAATGTTAATCTACACACAGGACAGTCATTTTGACCTCCATGTCTCCCTGAGTCGTAGGGATGAGATGCTGACTAAGGGCGGCTGGTCTCACCCACGGGTGAACAATGTTAATGTGATGTGAAGAAGTGCCGCGTGCCTTTTTGTTCATCTGTCAATGCTACAAGGACATGGACACCTATTTTTTTTTTCTCCATTCCCGTCATTTCTCTGCCATCACGCAAGCACACTGACCAACACTCATCAGCACACAATCCTCTGAGCACTTTAGACAGATGCGTCACACTACTATGATTTTAAAAAAGACAAGCAGCCTGTCTGACTGGCACTTGTTCTGCTTTAACATCTTGAGACTGAACGCTGTGTGAAAAATGGCATTCTTTATTTTTTTTATTTTTTTTATCAAAACCTTTATATGCTTCTTTACTTCAAAGCTGTGTTTTTATTTACATCTCGGAGCGCACGGATGTACTCCTTGGCTGATTTTAGGTACGAGTGCTTGCCAGATATAGCAACAAAGAGAAGGCAGGATATAATGAAAGCCATGTGAAATGTCACAGCAGTCCCTCATGCATGAGGCACTGACTTCTGACACATAGTGACACTCACGCACTGTTTTCAGCTGAAAACATCTCTGAGTTGAAGGACTGGCAACAGTGTTCACTGCCCTGGACTGCCGTATGCCAGTATTTATAGTAAATGGGTGCTATGTAGCTAAAAACAAGTGCATGGACTGTTTGGCTGAGGGATTTTGCGCATTTGAGCTGCAGTCACTCACATTTCATGCGCTGTGCCCATACCATGCCAATGACAACAAGTCTGTGGCCTGAGGCTCTGCGCGCCCTTTTTATCGCCATCAAATCAACCGGCCCGAATGTCAGAGCGTCATCTCTGGCCGGCTTCATGGCGACGCCAGGCTAAATCATAGTCTTGCACTCAGACACAGTCATTTAACCGTCAGTGTGTGTCAAGCAGACAAAGGCGTGAAGCCCTAGCTGCAAGACGTCTCGTTCACACACAGAACTTTCCCTGACAACAAGCCCTCACCGAGTCTAATTGTTCTGTGTGATTTGCAGCAGACAGGGGGAATGATGCTGCTCTTTTCCATAAGTCCCTTTTTTACTGTCTTTGTGGTTCAGTTAAACACATGGAGAGAAAATATAGTTTAATAGTGGTTTGAAAAACAAATAGAATCAAAACCAAGTAAGGTATAATAAGCAAATAAAGTTTTGCCTAAATCTCTTCTGCTCTTTTTCTTTTTCAGAGGATCCGACTCAAATTGGTAAAGGCGTCGCTCTGATCACAGTGCTGGACATAAATGACAATGCTCCGATTTTTGCCAAAGACTACGAAACTACCCTGTGTGAAAATGCCATGCCTGGACAGGTAAGACCAGAAACATCTAGTTAATCTAGAATTAACCCCCACCCTATATTTCTTTGAAGCCCGACACACAAAGAAGACCTGCTGATTCAAACGTCCTATTCCACACAACATCTACACTGATTCCACTTTGCAGTTTGGGGGTATGATATTTTGACATCATTAATGGGAGACACAACCTTAAGATTTAATAGCAATAATTGTAGGTGTTGCCATTCATTAGCAACATTTATTTTATTCACTTTCTACTCTAGAAGAAACTGGACGTATCACTGCCCAGTGTAATTAAATTATCATGATGCAGAAATCCAGGGCAGAAGCAATATATTATTATGCAACATTTACCAGTGTTATTTCAGGGCATGGACATTTTCTCCAGAAAAAAAAAAAAAAAAAAAACAGGGAAGAAACTGTGTTCATGCATCACATTTCCCCCAAGCATTTGGCCCCATTGTTGCCAAATGACTTGTGTGTTTGTGGCGGTGATTTGTCTGCTCTTGGCATTTGGAAAATACAATCAGAGGCAAAGTCTCAAGGAGGCGTGTGGACCTGAATAAGCACAATTGATCAGAATGATGCATTTTATTGGAAATGGCTATTAGGCCATTTTAAATATGCTATTTGCATTCATACCTCAAAGCTGTTTGTCATTATGCTCATGGGTGGGCGAACAAAAAAGCAAATGATTTCATTTGCAAAGATGAAAGACCTTTTTTTTTGGTTTCTATGTGCATTTTGCTTGACCATATTGTATTTTTTAAAGGCCACATAGCTTTGTGTGTTTTTCAACTTTTCTACCTTTGTTGCCACATTGTTCTTTGTTTAAATTAATACGTATTTTGAGACAACATCTAAAAATATATAATTTAACCCATTTGGCTATTGGGTATAACTGGTTGTTTAGAAGTGAACATAAATTGGAATAAATAAGCTGAGTTCACAATCCCACTATATCGTTCTGACGATAGTTGTCTGAAAAACATCAGCATTATAATTTTCAAATTTAGGAGATAGTTTTTACACTTCTCATATGATAAATTACAGAACAAAACCCAAAACAAACTCATTACTCAACAATCCTACCAGCCTGAGGGATATAGCAACAGCCATTTCCAATGACAGCATCATCAGGAGGAAAAAGGTATAGCAGGTCTGTAATTACTCAGCTGACGACAGATTGCTTACCTAACCCCAGTGATAGCTGGTCCCCATTGGTGTTTCCAGGGGCTCCTCTATTGCAAACTGAGGAGCTGTAGCTGACAAAAGCCTTTGTTTTTTACCCACAAAGCAAGTTGATGTAATGCATATAAATATTGACAATATAAGCTTAAATTTATGCAGTCAAAATGAACTACTTTAGCCTGGAGCGTGTGCAAACTTGATAACATAGTAAAATCACTTGCAATATATAAAAAAAAAAAAACACCATGTGGAAAATATTTGTTTTACTCAGCAGCAGGAAAGGGTTTCAAAACTTTTACAATGTTTGTCTGAGACAAGACACATTTCTTCTATTTACTCTGAGATTTATATACAAAAGATTTAATTAGGTCTTTTGTTTTCTTGCACTTTTAAAAACGGACTCATAATTAACACAAATACAAGTGTGACATACAACAAGGAGTCCATATTCAAGTTTATAAAGTTATCTTTAATTTAGAAATATTCTGTTCACTTGGAAGTCAGTTTTCTGACTTCCAAGCTCAAAAAACTTGACTGTAAGCTAACAGAAGAAAGTTTTCAGCAATAAATAAGACAATAAATAATGAAGGGGGAAAACAGCTAACAAACACAGTATTGCAAACTAAAAACATGTTCCATAGGACATAAAAAGAAAAAAAAAAGTATAATTAAAAAATGCAATGTGACTGAAAATACAAATCGTTACTAAAGGGCAATGAGGTGTTAGTATTCAAGTATACAAATCCATGTTACAAAAGTTTCAAAACATAGTAAGAAAACAAACAAAAAATTACTATAATTTGTAATAATACACAATGTGTTGTAATGGTTTCACAAAAGCACATTAGTCTAATGTGTTCTAATCATGTTTGGACATGTGAAAGTCAAAAGATAGAGTCAGTTACCGTATTTTTCGCTGTGTAAGTCACACCTTTTTGCATAAATTTGCAAGTCCTGCGACTTATACAGCGAAGCAACTAATATATGTTTTTTCCCCTGTATTTATAACCTGATTTTTGGCTGAGATCTGATGATTTCATTCCATCTGACATGGAAAATATTGAACACTACCATTTTCAGCCGCTAAAGGGGCCTCAAGTAATATGGCAAGCCAAGTGTCTCATTAATAGGTAAAAGTGGTGATTAATGAGACACTTGGCTTGCCATACTGAGCCACATTTATCTCGCTCTGGATCTCCTGGGGCAAACGTCAGATCAGCTGCATTTTGCCGCGCCGCCCAGGTGAAATGCAGCTGATTTGACCATTAAAGTGCATTTATTCAGGAAAAGTTAAACTGAGAAACATCTTTTATATAAAGTTGCACAAACAAACAATTGTTTTTAGGTGGTTATCTTGTTAAATTTCAAAGAAATGCACAGCGAGTCCTCCCTCTGCACGCTCCCGCTTCCGTGAATCGATTGTTGTAATGCAGCTGATTTGACCAATATAGTGCATTAATTAAGGAAAAGTTCAACTAAGACACACCTTTACTATAATTTTGAGCAAACAAATAATTGTTGTTAAGTGTTGAACTTGTTAAATTCCGCGGCCGCCATTTGGCAGCAAATCAATTTTTGGCACAACACCGACCCACATTTCCGGGTTGTCAGTGGTGACTCATAACAAACACGACTCATCAGCGATAATGCGACTAATATAGCAAAGCAACCTATTTATGTTTTTTTTCCACTTTATTAGACATTTTTAAGCTGATGCAACTTATAAGGCAGTGCAACGTGTGCGGCAGCAAGCACGGTAAATATGTAAAATGCGGCATGCTTCTGAAACAAATTATTACTTTTGAATGCTTTATTTCTATTTTTTTATGCTGGTTAATAAAAATCTGACCAATCCTGACTGTGAATGTGTGCCAAATTTAAAGCTAAATGAAGTATAACAAAAATAGATCATGAGACCCGTATTTCAAATGTGAGTTTATTTTTATGTGTGGCAAATTCTCATTGAGTTTGACTTTTTTTAAATGTATTTATACTTACCTTCTTTGTGTTTTCAATGGAGTATATGTGTAAGTTTTGTCCTCCTCTTCAAATGGGGACTTGCCCCCATAGACAAGTGAGGCTTGTTTATGTTTTTATTTCTCACTAATTCCAATTTCTATTCCATCCCATTCAAATACAACCTTCTGTTAGGCAACACTGAAGTGTACCATGGGATCACACCTCCAGACTGCATAATGAAGGCAGAGAAGATGGAAATTTCATGATGAAATTTACACCCAAAAATGCACACTGAGCAAAGGGAAGGAGAGCGGGTTGACATTTGAATGTGAAAACACAGTTTGAATTACAACTAGGTGTCGACTGTCTGTTAGCAAACAGACGGGGTGGACTCGTTACCCATCAGAAATGTGCTCCACCACCTCCCTGATTCCTAATTAATGAAAACGCTCCTGTCGTGTATTGTGCGTGTGGCTGTAGCGGTGAACAGTTGGCTACTAACTCTGCGCTTCCCTGTACAGCTTTGTTGAAAAGTCTCACTCTGCCCACGGGTTGTCACGCCCATTGGCCTGTTCACAGCTGTGACAAAGATGAAATAATAATATTTGCCAGTTGGGGCCAGAGTTGACTGTGTGGCTCTGTAGCACAGATTAACAGGGAGTACTGGGATGGAATAACCTGCCATTTTTCAGGCCTAATTAAGGCTGTCGTGTGGCTCTGGCTCTCTCCAGAGACGCCACTTGTTACAGTTCATTGGTGCATCTGTCTTATGCCATAAAATAAATTGATCTCATGATGAGGTGGAAGGGGCAGGGGCAGTGTGGACTGTGGGGATGAGGAGAAGGAGGCTCGCGCGGAACAACCACCTCATTGTAATTATCACATATATGAGCGAACTTGGGATTCTGCTGCTCAGTCAGCTACCTGTCCCTCTGTGTACTCCTGATACTTTCAGAGAGCTTTTTGGGTGTTGGCTCCTTAAACACTGGCTGCAGAAGAGTTTTAAGCCTCAATCATTTAGTTGTACAAGTTCATCTTAGTCTTGTCTGTTGGCGAGACAAATACTAAAATGAGATGAATAAAGTTTGACTTATCTGACTGCTTTGTTTCGCTTAACGCGCCTTTTGTATGAAAACAGACCCGTTCATTGATATTGTGCCTTATAATCTGGTGCGCCTTATAGTCCAAAAAATACGGTTTTTAGATTTGAATTATTTGCTTTAAATGTGCAAGACAGCACTTTAGGGACTGGAGTTCAAAGCCCACATTACCTGATTGCTGAAAAGTGGAGCTAAACAACTAATTTTCTTTATATCCAAAGTAAACATATACAACCATGGTATAATAAACTGCAACTTTATGTGTTTAGTATCGTTTTTCCTTTGTTGCAAAATCTGTTTAACTTTGTTTTGCACAATAAAAACAATGCAATGGAAAATGCAGTGTGGACATGCAGATATAATTTGCTGCAGAAAAAGCAACTTCTAACAGCTGATTTAGCGTAACTGCAATGGTGAAAATGTGTAAATAAACAGAATAAGAAAAATAAATGCTAACAATGACCTTAACCTATAATAAACAGTCAAGTTAGTTTTGATGTATTAATAAAACTATATGAAGATGGTTTAATTTGCTTAAAATTCACTCATTAGCCATTGATTTACAGATATCTGTCTTATTTGATAAAGAAAAAGTAATTAAATAAATGCACAAACTATGTTAGGTTCAACAAAAAGTAACTTTGAGGTAGAAAGGTTTGACTTTAAAAGTTTCCTGATCTGTAATGAAAACTGCTTTTCGAACAGTTTCTTAATTACTGTACAGCCTGATGTGTTGCATCAATCACCAAAGAGCGGAAAAAT